GTTACTGACATTCTTCCAAATATCTTCCTTTGTGTTCAGCAGAACAAATAAATGTATACAGGTTTGGAACAACCTGAGGGTGAGTAAATGATGGCAGAATTTAACTTTTTGGGGTAGATATCCCTTTTGCTTAAAATATATAAAAAAACACAATGTTGTAAACTATATATTTTAACTTTATCTAAATGTGATTAAGTGCTAGACACTTTCTAACATGAATGTTCTTCAGCATCATAAATGGGGTTGTAAAGGGGTGGAACATTTCTGGGGGAACTTAATTTTGGAAATATTCCAAGTTGGACACTTAATGAGAATTTACAGGAGTTAAAGGGAATTCATTGGAAATTTGGTTTAATTTATACATCAAATAAATTACTGAATAGATTTCATAGACTTTGGTACCAGTTGCTAAATGACTAGAGAAGAGAAATTATTTCTGATATAAAGGCTAGCAGCTAGTTTATTTATTTTTTTTATTTAGTCATTTAGCAGACGCTTTTATCCAAAGCGACTTAAAAACAGGTAAGCTAACCACACAGTACATTGAAACTGAAACTTGCTGTACTTATCATCAATATTGTTTACTGTGACATTTGACAGTAGGCTGCATGTGTATTTGTTTTATATATTTTTTTTTACATAGGAAAAGGGACAGTTACCAAAAATGAAAATTCTGTCATCAATTACTCAGCCTCAAGTTGTTCTAAAACGGAATGAATTTCTTTGTTCTCCTCAGCACAAAAGATATTTTGAAGAATGTTTGTAACCAAAGAAAAAATCTGGTCCCCCAACCTTTGTTTTTCATTCTATGGAAGCCAATGGGGCCCAGCAACTAGTTACCAATATTCTTCCAAATAAGTTTTTTTTTTTTTGTATGTTCAACAGAAAATAGAAACTCATACAGATTTTAGACAATATGAGGGTGACAGAACTATGACAGAATTTTCATTTGAGTAAACTATGCCTTTAACAACAATTTTGTCACATATATACGGTTAACACAACCAGTCTTGTACACTGGTCAGTTTTCTTTGCATGAAATCTGGTTGTTTTAACCAAGATTATGCTGCAAGACATTTTTTTTCAACTATATTTAATTTTCCTGTTATAGGCTAACATACTGTAACATTTCCAGTTTATTCCCTTTAATTCCCATTAACTCCCGTTAATTCCCATGGAAGTATTCCAACTTTGAATATTATCAGAATTTTTCATCCCTAATAAACACCAACCTGTTTGTTCTTCAGTATCTTCAGTGTGTTTGATTCTGCAGGGTTCTGGATCTCTCATCTTCTCTCTGTCCTCTTTAATAAACTCAGTCTTTGCAGATTTCAGCTCTTCCTGATGCATTGATGCTCGTCTGCACTTGTAAACTGATGGGAATATTCTAGCATTTATTGCTGAACTGCAGTGGGAGGAGCTTCCCTGATGATGAATTCCAATGTGGGAGGAGCTTCACTGATGATGAATTTCAGTGTGGGAGGAGCTGATCTGCCAAACTCAGAAATATATCACTTACTGAGTTTGTTTTTATAGGGCCAAAGACCAGGGGGCTGTTTCATAAAACAAGTTTACCAAATAAGCCAGGCTTATTTCAGTTAGCCTGACTTATTTTTACTTGATTTGGTTTCATAAAGAAAAATTACCATAGCTCAAGCTCAGTCACTCTGGCAACTTATGCTGAGAAACAAACCTGGTCCGGGGCAGGCTAAAGGCCCCGATATACTTCAAATGAAGTTCGTTTTCGTTTTCTGTTTGGGGGCAAAAAGAAGTTTGAAAAGGCTGAGCGACGGTATACTGTTTCCTAACTTTCCAACACCCCTGCGCTGCTGGATTTTGCGCTGTGTAGATTCTCGCGCATATCCCCTAAACACAGCAACGATGAAATGAAGAAGTGTAGGCAATCTAGGTGTGAGACGGGCACCAATGGTCAGAATATTATAGACAAAAGAATAATGATTAGCAGCAGTTTAGAGTCAAGTATCATGTTTGCAATACAAAAGAACCATAACATTTCCATAATCAGTCCTTTATGGAAAGTGAAGTGTGAATGGCTCATAGTCTGAAAACTGTAGCATGATGTGGAAAAAGAGTCAGTTTGTTACTTTATTTTATTAGTGTTCATTTATTTTATTAAACTGGATAAATTGTTACACCTTTTTATATTTTATGTGGTGTCAGGATTTACTTTTGATAAAAACAAAGGTTTATTACTGTATATTCGTTTGGCATTTAATTTACTGTATACCCTTTAAATTCGCTTATTGAAAGAACAGCAGCAGCAGCAGCACTATGGGGTAACATTTATTTGAAACACATGCATTTGGTACTTGCTACCTTATATCTTTACTCTTTCCTTTCATTCTTTTCATGGCTTTGGAAAACTTGTCTCGGATGTTTCTCTACGTTGCAATTTCTTTCTAGGAATTAAATGCTTTCTCTGAATCTTTAAAGTCTCTCTGCGAGCGATCGTTCAGGTGCGGATATATTTGTGCCAGCTGAGCTATTCGACACTCCAGTGTGTTCATGTTGCTAGCGGAATGAGAAACGAACCGGGAAAAAACAATTGCACGTCAAAGAAGGTGGAGTTCCAGAACACATCCACTGATTGCATAATTGTCACGGACCAATGGAAGCTCAACGGTGTTCAGGAGCCAAAACGAACTCCCCCAGAAAGTTCGCTTTGGTCAGTTCGTTCTTCGATTTTGTTTGAAGTATATCGGGGCCTTAACTGTCAGGATAAGCCGAGTTCCTCTAATGGCGGCTCGGCACGGCTCAGTACGGCACGGCACGGTTCGGCTCGGCAACTGACCAATAGGAACTCATTGATATTACGGCGCTGACTCTCTCACATACAATTATATGAAGTTCAAAAATAGAAATATACAGAAAATGTAACTTAAATAAATAAAAATTTAGGCTACAACTGACTGTATTTAATGTATTGTGCCCAAGATTTAATTACTTTGTTTTAAAGGGGTCATATGATGCGAGTTCAAGTTTTCCTTTCTCTTTGGAGTGTTATTTGAAAACATTTGAACATGCTGCTACTTGCGCGTTCAGTTGATCAGCCTTTCTCTCTGGTTTTATGACAGCTGTACCTTTTATGGTTATTAGTAGAACATTAAAACATTACAATATAAAATTGCACTTTAAAACATAAAAAAACACTAAATTAAAAGATAAAATCACTAAATGAAAAATGAAAACAAATAATATAAAACAGACTATATTTTATATGATAAGAGGAATACACATTAACTCATTTGAGCTAGTAATTAGGGTTGTATTAGCTAGCTAACATTTTATTTACAGTTACTGCTATGATAAAAATACACTTATATGTAGGATTAAAATTGTACGTGTCACATTTAATGTCCAACAACAAATATTTTAGCAGAATTATTGCGCTATTATTCTATTGCTCCATTTAGCGCTCGTTCACTCACGTAAGCCTCGTCACTCCTTACAGTAAAATGGATATATTTGCATGACTTTCTAACATTTACAGATGAAGAATATACCTGTGACATGTCAGTTATGCACTGAGGAAAACACAACGTCTCAAATGCATTAAACAGCACAGATATATTCGCTGTTTGCCATGTTGGATCGATTTGATCCGTGATCAACATTAAGCGCTGCTTAAGAATAAGCGTTCACATCAAATTATCCTGACTCATTGAATCTGGATCAAATTAGTGAGATTGCGTGAACTTAAATTATCGTTTATGAAACCGCTTTGGTCCCGATTGATTTGTTAGGTTATTTCAAGTCAGGTTTTAGACTTTAATCCCCGCTTTTCTTAGCGTCTTTTATGAAACAGCCCCCAGATGTCAAATTTGAGTATCTGCATCCAATTAAATGTTATTTTTTTTATTTAAAAATGAAACAGCATAGTTATTCTGTACAGTACAATATATAAAAGAATCAGAGATCATACTAAATTTTATTATATTTTAAATTTAAAAAAAATTATTGCTGACAAATGAGTAAAACCTAGTGGGTTGAAGGACAATGTCAAAGTATAAAGATAAAAAATGACAATTAGTATTTTTTTTCTTTCGCTATATAAACCCATGTTTGTCTTTGACCCATATACTAATTGGCAAATGTAAGCATTTATCTGTCTGTGCATCGTAAAGTAACTGATGCTAATTCACATTATTTGTATTCTTCATTAAAATAATGGCATATATCTAGAAAAATAAAGAACTGTATGAAAAGCATTTGAAAGCTTAGACACAAATAAATGTGCATATTTGTAAGCATCAAATTGCCTACCTTCTGTTGACACCAATGAAACGAGCTTTAAGTGTCAATTTACAGGAGATCTGAAGACATCAGCATACTAAATGAGGTGAGAACAGGAACTATTGACATGAAATAAAGAGTCTTTTCTGCAGCTGTTAATATTGATGAGCCTCAGACGATCAACACTCATTCAACAAGACATTCAGGATCAGCAGCAGATTGTGTTTGCTGTTAGAAACAGATTATTTGAG